GTGCTTTTCCTCAATCCCACCAGGAACATTCTGGGATAATATTAAACTAAACTACGCTAACCGCTTACTTCCACGTGCTTTACAATCCATTCGCAGTCATTCTCCGTTTAATCGGCTATAATCGCCTTGCACAGAGTCCTTGAGAAGCTAATAATGACAGCTAGTCACTAAATTCTCTCTTATCATACCTGACGGTTCATTGCCGTGTTCACGAGAGCCCGCTTCTAGCCCCTGTCCTTTGTAAGTTCAGCGTTTGAAAAGGGGCAAGCCCAGTTAAACAGCATGAGTGATGAGTGAGTCTGTGGATAAGGACTTGGGAGACGCTATGATCTAATATCTTCAGAAGCCGCGAATTATATCACAGCTCCTCAGTGACTGCAGGGTGATCGTAGGCATATCCCTGGTAGGTGGCGGTAAAACGCCTGGTTATTTACGATATGTGGCGTTCAGAATTTCGCAGCTGTTTTGCTTCAACTGACGACTCAGTGTGAACTAGGTTTGTCATTGTCGGGACCAATACCTTTGCAAAGTACTCTCTCTGTGCCTACTACAAGAAGTTGGCTTGCAGCCGACAGTACACAAGCCAGATTTGACTTGGGCACGCAGGCCTACAGATTGCCTCCCGAGAAAAATATATTACGTCAACATGCGATATTTCCATATAAGTCTGTAAAAGAATTGGCAGTTTGTCTATCATAAGCGTAAACAAACGCTGGGAAACGCCTACTAGACGTTATCGATTTCCACGAAGTAGTTTGGTAAATGCAAATACTGACAGACAACCAGACAGACATGGCTTCTAAAGTATCCACTCACTTGTACAAAATACAGGCCTATCTAATGCAACATCTCAGCGGAGCTCCTGTGAAGTTCCCTTTGTCCATCCGCATGTATGGACGGCTGAACGAATTTTAATGAAATTTGATGAAGGCGTTATGCCATCGGATGCAGCTCGGAGCTCCTGTTAGTCAACTTCTGGTAGCAACAACGTGACGGTTAATCGAATATATCAAGTGGGAGGATGATTCTGTTCAATGTCGCTATCACACGTGATCTTCCGCGGGGCAATGAAGTCGTCATGGACCATCGATCAGCTTGTCCGTCCGCAAGTGTATGAGAACTCGAGAACGACGGAACGGATTTAAATTAAGCTAATAGTCTATCAGCTCGTCAAGAAATTTTCAGTATTTTATGGAACCCGGTCGTTCATTACCGTGTTCATAGGACCCTTTCATTTGCCTGTATAATGAATAAGAATAAACCAGTCAATGTCCCCGTAGTCAGTTCCTCCATGATCAATTTGAATCTACAGTTAGGCATTTTCCATTCAGGTTGTATAACTAAAGTTCTGGGTGTGTTTTCATCACGAAGAATCTGTCAGATCACCTGAAGGTAATGGAGCCAGCTTCGGGAAGCTGTGTAGGCCTATACAGAACGGAGGCTTGCCTCAGACTATGGGCATTGTCTAATATACTTTTTTTGCTGTAATTACTGTCATGTCTATGGTGATCGTGATGATCGTATAAAGAAAGAGAGCCACTTCCTACTTCAACAAAAGAATCTGCTTCTCATCACAGTGACCCATGTCATCATAGTTAATGTAGTCTATAATTTTCTACTCGGCTTATAGCGATTGTAGGCGTGTTGGAAATAAGGAACTTGCCGAAATCTATCCGACAACCTCAATGTCAAATGTAATTTTGTATTATGTCGTATGACTTTGTTACTAGACCTATGGTTGTGGCTGTTACGTTTAATTCCGTTCCATCAACCGAGTGCTGTAGTTTGCTAAATTAAAATTGATTTGTTGATAACCTATAATAACCCACAGTAACTGTTCAGAACATCCTTCTCAATGTCGCACGTGTTTGCGCATGCTCATGAGGCCGAGAGCATTTGAATCATGTACAAAGCATTACAGGGCATTTGGTCGAATCCAAGAGGCCTAAAAAACAAAACATCCGAAGAACGAAACAACCGAGTCATTTGGTCCATTGACGCAAAATGTCAAGAAATACAATCGATTAAATACTACGTAAGCGTTACTTGGGACTGGTCCTTTCGAAAGTAAATGCTGTACTAATAAAGTACTGAATTAAATTATTGTGATTTGTTCAGATATGGAATGTATTGTCAATAAAAGTAAGAAAGAAATTAATAAAAAAAAATATTTTGGGGAATTTTAATCATCAGATTAAACTTGTTCGTTAGCTG